CTGGATCGACACACCTTTGCTTGATGGTACGGTTTTAAACATAAATAACATACTCGGGGTCGGCCTACGCAGGCAATTCTGCTTACAACTGGCATTTCAATAAACTCTGGGCACTGATCCAGGTAGTGAGATGATCCACACTGTGGAGTTTTCTGAGTTGCGGTGCATATTTATCATTGTTATCCTTGGATTCTTAGCACTCAGCCGTGTTTTGGAGAAGAGTCTACTTATTTCAGATGTGGGTTGAAGTTCGGGAAAGCCATTTCATCACACAGCTTACTTTTTAGAGAACTTTTGACACCGAAACGATCGAAGTAACAGCATTCTAGGGAGAATTCCCTATTCCGATCGTCCGAGCAGAGGCCATCACGACGAAAAAGAACGTTTGACCTCCTAGGGACCATTTTGGGGAACTACAGAGAAAATGGAAAAATTGACATGAAATTCTGAAACGTCTTCCATCTCTGAGTGGAAATATTGTACATCTCTTTCTGAATTTCTCGGGTTTTTATCGGAAGTGCGAGGTCTGGGTTGTCTGGTGATTAGAATGGCGTCTTGTTTGTTTCCAATTCGTTTTCTGAAGCATCCTAGTCAGATTCTTTATTCACTCTAAAGTCTTCCGTAGCATGGAAGGTTCCATATCGCAAATGACCGTGGAATATTAACAAGGGATCACAGAATCCTACAAAATGATCTTAGAAACAACCGGAAACCCATACTAGGCCGAAGCATTTTCCAAGGCTGTAACCATACAATTACTGAAGAGGTGTGCTGTAATTTCATTGGTGACTTGCTTCTGTCCCAGCTACGCTAGCATCTATAGAGGTCAGTAGTCGATACTCGGGCGTTCCACAAGGGCAACAACAATGGACTCGGTACTGCCCGTTTCGCGATGTCCATTAAATAAAATTAGGAAATAGGGGCTCTAGTCCGCAGTTGTTCATTGCAACTTTTAGGTACGGTCAACGCGTCTCCCCCAGTAACAAAAGTTCCCGTCCATTCTCCTGATACTTTCAACATGATTTGAAACATTCGTTTGCGTACGTCACATTCGGAATTTCCGTTCTTCATGTTGAAGCACACCGAGTTTTCCATATTTCTTAGACGAGTTCAGACTTTTGACGATTCATACGAAGTAAGATAATTCTTCGTTTGAAAGTGGCGTTTAATAACTCAAGTGGTTAGAGCGCGAATTTACTGACCGGAAGGTCCGTGGTTCAAACCCGAGCTCTGCCTCTCGACCTCCCCTGTCCAGGCTTGGGCAATCTGGCAGTATCCCAGCCCTCGTGCTTCCCACAGGTGGCATGGCAGCTAGGCACTTGAGGAGTGTTACAGCTGAACGATTTCGATTTTCGTTTAAAAGTTGTGACCCCCTCACTGGTATGAGAGTTGTCTGCTACAGAGATAGGAGATTCTTAAATTTAGTTGTAATCTAGTGTATTGCGGAGGTAATGACACGAGCATCCACCAGGGCGTCCGGGGCTCAACACCAGACGTGGACAGTCTCATGGTATTTCTGTGCTACTTCTTCGTGTGTATTGCTCGGCAGCGATGTAGCCAAATTATTGTTTGCGTGTGTGAATGCTACTGCGTTCATGCCGGTCCCTTGCCAAGTGCTGATACTAACACATTTTGTTATGATGATTTTACGAACAGACAATATATCCAGAAGGTCCTTTTGCGGACACATAAACGTATACATTCCTTGCGAACCGATATGTTTTGCTGTTGTTGATTCCATCACTTTCTTTCGATTGCAGGCCTCTTTCGTCAGGGTTTGCAATGCCAGTCATGCGGAATGATCTTCCACAGACTGTGTGCATCGCTGGATGATCTTCCCAACTGTCCTCAACTGCTTCCTTCAACAGAGTCCTCCGAGGAAATTGGGGATCTACCAGGTTTAGAGACTTTGGAGTATAGCCATCTACCACGAAGATTACCTCCTTATTCGAGTTTGTACTTTGGTGTGGCCTTGGAAGACCAGGTACATTTAAGCGTACTACTATTTAAGGTTGATATTGTAAAAAAAAACAGTCAACTTGCCCGCTTTTGGATTCTTATAACTCTATTACCGAAATGACAATGGAAAACGGTATGATCGTTTGGGCTGATATTTGTAGTCATGAACCTGCATTACGAGTGATTGAGAGTCATGGTTGAGTCCTTTCAGATTTCTTTGAATATCCATATTGCATGGTCGAAGGCATGTATTTTTCCGGAACTTTGGCCTGCTGACAAGTTTACACACACGCTTTTCTTGCAATCCACGGCTGTTCAAATGTGTACGTTTTGACCATGCATTGTTGCGGTGGAGGGTGACACGTTGTGCATTACTTTCCCTGACTCACAGTCTATTCGGCCGACATCTCCCACAGGTATTGGATCAATACTCAGACGTCCCCTTATTCCTGTTGACGTGTACCAATGAAATCGAACGGATTGCTTCTGATAGCTTTTTGATTTCCGAGGAGCGACCTCTTGATCCGGCCAATCTGGTTCATGCATATCAACAGACTGCACTGACGAGTACCCTTGTGGAGCTACACCGACAGTTCTCACATAGTCTTCCATCAACCGGTGGCTCCAAGTCAGATGTCGTTCGGCTTACGCAACTTCTCAAGGCTTTTCTTCGTGCTCTACCCGTCTCAGTTATACCGGAAGATCATTATCGGAATTTCTGTGGCCTGTCGTCGGTCACCAGTGCTGGTGAGTTTCCACTCAAGATCCTCCTTCAACTTTTTCTGAAAAGACGTCTTGATAAACTTTCCTGAATAATCCGACATGAATTCCAGTGTCTCGACGGAAATATAATGACCTCGTGTTCATGTGAGCTATGTCGTGAGTTGTGCAGCTCTTCTGGTTTCGTTTCAGGGATCAACCATCCTGGGACTACCTTAACTTGACATCCAGGGTTCTTCTATCCAGACATCATAGGAATTTGGTTTGAGATAGTTCAGAGGTTAAGGTGTGAATTCACCAACCGGAGTATTATTGTCAGAAACCAACCTCGACATCTTTAGCGCTCCTGTCTAGGCTTGGGCCACCTTCGGGTGACATGGCAGCTAGGCACCGAAAGCGCGTTACAGCTGAACGATTTTATTTTATTCTGGGAACCTTATCGCCGCCATGTGATGAAGGGTGTGATAACTGAGTCATCATTTTGTTTTTCGTTGTTTGCCGTCTCTGCTTCCTAGCCGAACGAACAGAAGCCGTGCACCTGTTCCTCGCCAAACTACCGCATCTGCACCGCGTGTGTTTGTCGCATATAATGAAACATTTGGATTTCGTTTGGTTTCATCAACGCAAACTCCAGGACTATTTAGCAACTGAACCCCAAGAACTGAAGAATGCGACTTCTGGCTCCCGGTTCCAGCACCTCTGCAAACCCAACAGCTGGCTTCTCGTATTCCGGCAGATCCTGATTCGTCCACCTTGGCCGTTATTGATCGATTTCGCTGTTGGTCTAGAAGTTCACTTGCGCGCGCTTCAGGCAGTTTTTTTCACCCTAGCCACAACTCCGAGTGACATCGCTCCGTTAGGCCCTGCCATTCTGAATCTCCCGTTGCCTAAAAAGAGTTTGACGGAAGACAGCGTGGAGAGTAGGTGTGATGCGGACAAGTTTTCAAGACGGAATGTAGGTGAGCATTCTCATTGTAATTCCCTCGTAACTGATTGAGACGTTTTTTCACTGTCTTTTAGAGTGCGGGGGCTCTTTCAGTGTTTTTGCATCATTGAATTATGTCGGAAAATCAAAATGCACATTTAGATTCCAATCACCCCATTCTCCCCTTCAAGTCGAATGTTTCCGTTTTGACAATGATTCGCGACTGGCCTGGTCTAAGGAGGAAGTGGGAGGGATCGAAAATGTTTTGGCGAGCAACGATGATCCCGTTCTAAACCTGTCATACTGTGCTGCAATGATCCTACCGACTATATTGGATGGAATTTGGCTCTTAAAGGTTCAACTGTGCTCGGAAGGTCAACGGGGGCAGTGAGTATCCGTAATCCAACTGCAAGACACTCGTCGATGCCATTGGACCATATGGCAATCAGTTACCGATAGAAAGTCTCAGTTGAGGGTTGTCGTTCCTTCTGGGGTACGTAAATCGACTCTGATCATGCCACTGTTGGAGCCCAGTTATAACTTCCCTTTCCATCAGCATTATACCTGCCAATGCAGAGCAGTTCCAACCATCAACTCCGACAAGTTTCAGTAATTCACAAGTGTCGAGGCGTTTATCCGAGCTATATAACTCTACTACTCGCGTCCAGTAAATCCCGCTGTTACTGCTGAAACTAGCTACTGTGGTGGCACACGGTGTTCCCTCGAACGTAGGATAATCAAGAGCTTGAAGGACAAGAGAGAATACTGGTAAGCTACGAAGCCATAGGAACTGGAGAAGGCTTTCGCTGCAGTCAACAACCACGCTCTGTTTCAGTTGATTTGACCAACCGATCAAAATAATGTGAGTGTCAGTGATACAATATGCGTTGTCTTCAGCGGTGGGCTTAGCACTCCAAGGAACAAGTCAGCTGGGCACCTTCAACACAAACACTGAAAGAACCCAATGAGCCTGAATGGAACATTGATACCGATCCGCTATCAACAACCGAAATCCAACTTGAGATATCAATGCTCCAGCGCGAAAATGCGCCTGGTGTGAATCGTCTGTACTCTGCGCTCTTCAGAGAAGATGGTGAAGTCCTGGTGAACAGTCTGACATCCATAATGCACAAAGTGTGAAACGAAAATAGAATACCAGTCGGATGGTGCTCCTCCTCAAAGGGGGTGCAACAACGTCATGTGAGAACCATCGTGGCATCAGCTACATCTAAGGTGCTTTCTGGCATTATATTGCACAGGTTGGTTGATTATCGGGGGAGATAGACTCGTGAGAAGCAAGCTGAGTTTCTTTTGGTCGAGAATGCATCGATCATATCTTGAAACAAATTCTTGAACAGTGCCACTCCTTCAGGCGTCCCATGTTGGTCGTTTTTCTCAATCTGAAAGCTGCTTTTGACTCTGTCGATTGTCAGAAAGTTTGGCTGTGTGTGGCTATCAAAAGTGTCCCTTGTAAATTTATATGTCTTATGATGGAACTCTATGCGAGCTCCTGTGGGCGCGTACGAGTATACGGCAAGCTTTCGCCACGCTTAGTGGTGTAAGACGAGATTACCCTTTCTCACCTTTACTCTTCAACTTTTTTATTGATGTGCTGGTTGAAATTTCTCTATCTGCCTGGGAAACCTCGTGAATCAAGATGCCCCCGGGACGTTGTTTCACAGAAATGGAGTATGCGGACGATACTGCTCTCGCTGGTTCAGACCCCCAAAAAATGCAAGCCATTTAAACAACCTGCACAATTCTGCCGCGCGGTTTTGCATGCGCTTTACACCTGCAAAGTGTAAAATGCGCTACAAGACCGGGGATGCATCAAACCCAGTTTCATTCTTGAAGATGACCCGGTCTACGTGGTGGATAAATTTGTTTACCTAAGTAGTTGTGTAATTTCCGGTGGACAGCTCGGAGATGAGATTACTCTTCGAATCGGAAAGGTCGTGTGTGCGAAGTTTGAAAGCACTAACAGGTAAACTTAGTCGGTTCGACAACTGCTGCCTCTCTGGATGGGAACTTCGGGAGTCAACTCACTAATGGTTCACGACACTGACCGAAACGTCCACAGAAATGGAGTATGCGGACGATACTGCTCTCGCTGGTTCAGACCCCCAAAAAATGCAAGCCATTTAAACAACCTGCACAATTCTGCCGCGCGGTTTTGCATGCGCTTTACACCTGCAAAGTGTAAAATGCTGCTACAAGACGGGGATGCATCAAACCCAGTTTCATTCTTGAAGATGACCCGGTCTACGTGGTGGATAAATTTGTTTACCTAAGTAGTTGTGTAATTTCCGGTGGACAGCTCGGAGATGAGATTACTCTTCGAATCGAAAAGGCCATGTGTGCGAAGTTTGAAAGCACTAACAGGTAAACTTAGTCGGTTCGACAACTGCTGCCTCTCTGGATGGGAACTTCGGGAGTCAACTCACTAATGGTTCACGACACTGACCGAAACGTCAGAATCGCGCAGCCTGTGGGGCTTTTGTCTCAAAGCTTCCTCCTTCAATGGGGAACCACCCGGTTCCCTATCTAACCATGCATGCCATCGCCTCCTAAGCTTGGCTGTATTTCCCATAATCTCCCAATTTCCGGTGTTCTAAGCTGTGGCAGATGGGAACAATGTGCCTATGGTACACGGTTTACAGGTGATAAGTTGAATCCATTTAACACTGAATAAACGCACAATGAATGCCGGTTTTTGAGATGCCTTCCGGAGTTTATCAGTGGTAAAATCGGTGCTGGAATTTCGAAGTCGGTGCTCTACTAGACCAACCTCTAAACGGAAAAGATTAGCAAAGTTCCGTGCGGTCCGCACACAAACCATTCTGTTTCTTCATATATTACGTGTTATTTGTCTGCTTCATCCCTGACTCGTTGGGCACTGCCTTTGTCCCTTTGAGTCTGTGAATTTTAATAATGTATGCTATAGCCGCCTATTGTTTCATTTGATTGTAGATGCAGATAAGCTTGACTATGGTACAGTTGAATTCTCTCCTTTGGAACGCTTGAATACATCTCAGTTGTCCAGTCCAACCATTGACACCCCTCCAAGTCCGACCTCACGAGCAGCAAATGCACGTGATCTGTCCACGCGGGAATGGTATTGGGGTGATATATCTCCGGCTGGTGTGCGCGAAGTGATGGATGGATTTTCGGACGGATACTTCTTGGTCCGTGATGCTTCGGCGAATTCGGTTGGTGCTTTCACCCTGGCTGTTAGGTAAATGTTTGTTTAGCACATTCCCGCCACATTCATTCCCCCAAGCATCTGTCTTTACGTTCATATTATTTCCGTGAACTGAGCACTTATTTCGACTAGTCAGGTAGGCACTTGACGGGAAAGCCAGTTACCCATCCCTATGACAATCGCTATTGCGAGGAGTCTGTCTCATAACGTATCTCTACGGCCCCGATCTCATTTAAGATTTTCTAACGCCCTTCTACTCCATGTCACTCACCGCGGCACGGAACAGTCTCTGAATGCTGACCGCAATGTTTTGTCTCAACTTCCAGGCTCTTGCCGGATTTGGCTGCCCTGTCCTGCGATGATTTATCATGCTGGTTTTTTCTTCTGTTCTTTTGTAGACAGTCCCACTTCACCTCATATTACACTTTGGTTTCTCTACTATCCACCCCCTGTTATAGGCTCCACGGGGAGAACAAACTTCTTCGTATTTATCATCGCGGCGATTATTTCGGCGTCGTGGATCCCCCGCCACCAATATTCCGCCTAGTATCAGAGCTTATAGACTACTATCGATCTCACAGTATACGGGTTGAAGAAGACATTCTTCTACGACCTATTTCCCACCGACATTACCGGTTCCCAAGACTGGCTGTGAGTAGTACACCTACAGACCCCGGGTCGGTTTGTTCAGTATCCGAATCTGGAGACCGGGGAGTTTTCGCTTGTAATCTGTCACCGAATCAGTTGCTTGTGCAGCTAAATCGTACCAACGCTGAACTGGGTCAGTGCGAGTCCCGAATCAAGGAACTCTCGGATATGGCTGAACAAACGATGAAATCAAAAGATGAAGCTTCACGATCAATTAAGGGCTATCGGAAACTGCAAGAGTGGCTTCAACTGCAACAACAGCGACTTGAGCAACATTCTAGTCTGTGAGTGAGTACATTTCGTATTGCTCTGATCGGTTTGGAACAGCTGGTTATCTTGTGCCTACCATATTGCGAGCCGAAACGGGAGTGTACTCAGAGCATCCACTTGACATTTGATCAGATGAAGATCGCCCATACATGCAGTGGCTGAGTCCCCTGCATGTTGCAGAAAATTCCATCTCGGATCTCTCTAGCGCGAAATTCAGCGGAAATTTGGTTTTAATCTTAGATTTCACCGACTGCCTTTCCAGCCAATTTGGCGCGTGCAATGATTGTACACCCTTGCTGAGTGTCTGGTTGGTCTGTGAATTCCGGTGATCTTTGCCAAAATTTCAGGACAAACTTGAACCACCGAGTAGTCTTTCGAAGGTGCGGTGCGTTCAAGGTTGATCTAGGAGTCTAAAGCCTAATCATGTGGAACAGATCCACATTTTTTCGTTCGTCCCCATTACGATCAACAATTTTTTGGAACATCGAATGGCTAATAGACCAGAATGTTTTTAAAGGAACTTATTCACCGACGGTAGTCATCATGATCGTCATCATCGACAGCATCATACCAGTGTTCAACACCGATGCTTCACTGCGGTAGACGTGTTGATAATAGCCCCCCCCCAGGTTAGATTTACAGTGCTGTTACATAGACCTTCCCACATGACTCTTTTTCAGAGTAGAAACCGTTTGAAGAGGACTAGCTTTGTTGTATTTAGCAAATTTAATCACGCTGAGTTTTCATTATCTCGGATGTGATTGGTCGACCTTCAGAGACAGCGATGTTGCTCTAAGGATGTTGCTTTGTAAGGAAATAATACTAATGGAGGAATTACGGTCCTTATTTTTGCGATCGTCATGAGATATTGCGTGTAAATAACAGCGGATTCGGTCTTTTGTTGGTTTGTTGCTACAGTCCCATTGAGAAAAGCTGCACCTGTCGATTGTTCTGTTGATTGCAAATTCTAGACTTGTGTCTCGCTCGGTGAATTCCAGAAAGCTGACTTGTGCGCAGTACGGGACATAATTTTTCCATATATTTGTTTTTTTCGCCTCCGCGCTGATCGGACCGGATTTTTCCAATTAACATGGGGGTTTATAAAATCGCATGCACGCGTACCCTATAGAAAAACAAAATCCCCACAACCAACCCTACCGGAATATATCTACAGTACTCTCCCTACACTGATTGTTCTAGGCATTTGTTGTCAAATCATAGTGGTTTCTCGTTTAGCTATTTCTCAGAAACAACCGATAGACTCAAATTTTTACCGTATAGAGTTGGAGTCGTTTATTAAAGTGCATATTTTTTGTGGAAGCTTATTAAACGCAAGGACATGGTGACGCGATCATCTATATGGAACTTTTCGCTCTTTTGCCTAGGAAAGTCGATCAACGACCACACTTCAATAGCTGAAAAAACTGAATTGACCAGTGTTCCAGATCTATTTGTCAAGCATATGAATTCGCCAGTAATTTCACATTTTGCGAGATGTACCAAGTGGTTAGAGCGCGAACTTACTGACCGGAACGTCTGTGGTTCGAACCCCACTTCTGCCTCTCGACTTCCCCTGTCTAGGCTTGGGCAATCTGACAGTATCCCAGCCCTTGTGCCTCCTTCGTGGGGCATGGCAGCTAGGCACCGGAAGGATACTACAGCTGAACGATTTGTTTTTTCACATTTTCCTCAAGCTGACTAATTTTCGCGAACCTTACCAGTATGTTTTACTGGTGATCCCACGTGTGTTTTAGATAGGATTAATCTGACAGTCGCTGCTGAATCTTATCGCCTGTTAGCACCGCACGGAAACGAAAGTTGACAGTAACATCCCGAATCTTATGTGAACAAAGGACGTGAGGAAAGTTTTCATAGTTCTAATAATCCGGCTGAGAAGTGTTAGTCAGGGTCAGATCACTCCTTTTAGCCTAGAGAACTAATCACTACGATTCCTATCAGAGAGTTGGCTAAACTTGGCATACGGAAAATGAATGTTTTGGAAGTCGCTACACTTCACTTTCAATGACTGATGCTTCTCCTCAATCTGGCCCCAGACCTAGTTTGGAACGCTTCCATGAGGTACTGCACGAGAAGCTCCTGGAGGCGGAACGTCAGATCAAGGCCGGAAATCAGCAGTTTGCAGTCGAAAGTAACCGATGCCGTGATATTCTTAAGGAGCAAGTGCATACAACGACCCGTCGGAGAAAACTGAAGCGCCAAGCCCAGGAAGTTCACCGGGCACTGAAACATCAAGGCGTTCCAGAAGATGTCATTCTCAATCACCAAAATTCCAACGAGGAAACTGGTGGTACTTTGCCAACAAGATCTTCCCGTTCCTCCTCCTTACTAACACTTTTTTCACGCGAACAGGATTATGGGAATCTTGGCCTAAGCATTCCAAAAGAGATTACCAATTCGTCTGCTTGGTTTCTGCCCAATGTGACACGGGAGAAGGCAGAACAACTGCTTGCTGATAAGCCGTCAGGAACGTTCCTCATTCGCTCCTCCGGAGATGGAAGCAGTTTGGTATTATCCGTTCGGTGAGTGTGAATTTTACAACATATCATTAGGAATTATTGCACGCTGCTGACAGCATATACATACATATATGTTTATAGTGTATGTTTGTGAATTCATCGTCAAATTCGGTCTTCTTTTTCATTCAGCGTGGATTCCTCCGTTCAGCATTGCTTGATACATTGTGACAACGGTCGCTACGGGTTTGTACGACCTCCTGTACAATCGTTTGGCAGCCTAGAGGCTCTCGTGTGCCATTATCATGTGTACAGTCTGAAACAACACAACCGCCTAATGACAACGACCTTACGTTTCCCTGTCAACTCCAACCTACTGTGATGTTGAGCAATGTGTGTCTTCCATAGAGGTGTGTACGTCTTCGTGCACCCCTAGTCTATCCCGGTTCCCTGTTTTCTAATTATCCAGCCTCCGTCGTCCACCTACGGTGAAGTACCTGTTACCCTTCATCGGTTTCTCACGACTAGTTTTATTCGTACTGTGTATTCTACTGACTTACTTTGATGTATTTTTGCCTGAGTGCTCATGACCATTCTTACCGATTTGAGCAGCTCACAATGAAAGTGAGAACAATAACGACGACAGAAAATCTGGTGTGCTTTCACTTGGGGCCAGGATGCATCTTTCTATGCAATGGATTTTGGCCGCTAACTATTTTATTCTGTTTCTAACCGTTCAATCATCACACATAAACACTCGGTTGGCGATTTGTTTCTCTTTACCTTACCGGTATTTGTGTTCTACCGAATCTGTTACAGTCTAAATATCAAAGCAAGTGGAGTTGCCGAGAGGAAACGATCATGGGAATATCGGATTAACGTTTTGTTTACTCGAAATCCGAGCAGTTTAATCCTAGAGGATTTGAGTCAGGGCTGGCCTTCGAAGTGGATTTTTCAGTCAACAGCTGTTGATCCATTGAATGCCTGCACATGGTTGATGGATCAGGGCTGGTTTTCGTGAGGTAAATATGGTAGGGCCTACAAACCCCTGGCGTTAATCTGGGTAGGGGAAATAAGGTCGGTGGGAAAGCACTCAGGGGACGGTCACCAACCCTCATCACTGAATGACCTGCGTCTAGGACACCTTGCGACTGCTCACGGTGCTGAGCGATGATATGGGTAGGTGATTTCTTTGAGAGGGAAGAAGAAAGGGAGGTTGGATGAGAAGGAGTGGTTCCTGGAATCGGTTTCAGGAACGTTTCCGACAGGTCATTCTCAGGAAAGAGAATACAACTCCGGAGGGACATAAAGTCTCTTATTCGGAATATGTTCACTACAGAGAGTTCAATACACTTGGAATTATGCTTGGCTATTTTTTCAATAGAGTAATAAAATGCATGCCATTCTATCGGCCGTTTTAATCCCGAAGATATTGCGTCATCTTCAGTGACCAAACAGTGTGGGTGCAGTTGTTGGACTTATGTAGGGATAAATTCCTGTCCTCTTGACTTTGGAGTATGCCCTTGCATTCGGGGTACAAAACGTTCCGTTTGAAGCTTGTAGCAGTTTCGTCGTCAGTCAAGGAGATCTCATCAGTGCGCGATTGGATATTTTACTCATTTTGTTCGGCTTCACAAAAAAAACAGGTAAATATTGGGCAAGTGCTGGGATTCAGCGCGATGGAGCACCTTGACCTCCCCATTGGTCTAAAGTGGGCAAATTTTTCATTCTGTTTTAGTTCATATTCCCACCACTTGTTTGGACGTTCATCCCTGTGTTCTGGAGTAACTACTCTGGTGAGTCTGCACCAAAGGGAAGCACTGGACTCGAGGCTCGCTCCTATTAGAGCTCATCAGCAGTGCGTATCCAATGGCCTTGCCGGGGTTTGAACTCCGGACACCTGACATGCGAGGCGAGCGTGTAACCACTACTCCACCAGCGCAAGTTGGACGCACCTGAATTTTCACCTCCGAACAGGCAAAAGTGTTCAAGCTTGTCTCCACTGTCATGCGATTTTTTTTACCGGTTTGTGAGTGGTTGGGGGGATTTGTAGAATTCACACTCATCACTTTCGCCCTAACAGCCCTCTTCTGTCCTGGCGCTCGAATGTGAGCACGTTTACCTGGTCGTGCGTAGTAATTTAGGTGCCTCTTGTATGGTAGTGACCACACGCTTGCCTCAAATTTCAGCTGCTTTGGGACTGCTAAGTATATACACTGCTAATGAGCTCCAGTAAGAGCGAGACTCGAGTCCAGCGCTTTGCCCTGTTGGACCCATAATCTAGCCGAGTCCTGCGCTGTTTGAAATGTTTCTCCTTTAAAGATGTGGATCAGTGGTTTCAAACATGAAGTTGAAGACCTTCACTGAGTCCTTTAGGACTATCGGAGGCTATTCACAGGTGTCACAGTATGTGATGGCTAACGTTTTTCTGTCCAGAGGATTACCAACGGGATAGGAAACTGATTTTCTGCAATGTTGCCACTCACTAGCATGACTTACTAGAGTTTACCCCCGAACTTATGAAGTATATCGAAGTCGCATCCATCAACAAAAATAACAATAATGATAAATAACCGTTCGTTTGCCACATTTCTTGGAGTTCAGCAACTATGCAACCCAAAAAAAAGCACGAAGTTAGAAATACTGCCAGGAAGTAACCGAAAATCCACGGTTGCATTCGAATTGTGTCTTAACCCCCGTAACCAGTGAACTCTTTCTCTTTCAATACATGCGTAGTATAGAATGTCGATCAAACAGATCCAATTTATGTACAACTCAGCTAGTATTGTGTAAAGAAATTTGATCCATATTTCCGGGACGCGTCATTCCTTGACTACATGTGACAAAACGAGAGACATATGTCATACGTTTCAAAGTGCATTTCCGGACAGGTATGTTGGAACAAGGAAACCATCGAATAGTGTATGAAATTTTACGATAATGAAAATACTGTTGAGGTGGAGAATGCAAAATTTCACAAGAGCTTAAAGCGAACAACCAGAAGTTGCACATTTCAAATCTTATCGGAATATTAAGTACGCTGATCTGTCTCTTACCTTCGTGAAGGTTCTGAATGACGTCACATCAACCAAAACTACTGAGGCATAAATAATATACAACGGTTACTAATGGAGACGTCAGAAGAAGCGAAGTTTTATTTATCCCCTCTGGTGTTTGAAATTATCGCGATGTGAATGATGATTTCTCAAATATGCGATTACTTTTAGCTGCTCAGTTCATCTTGTTCACATTCGACTTCCGAATCTGTTTCTCTGAACTGTTGTTCGATTCCAGAACGCCATGATAAAGCGCTACGATAAGGCCACTCTGCGGACATTCTCACAGAACTGGTGGATACTATTAGCCTTCTAAGCTGGTTAGACATATCTGACACTTTGTAAAACTAAATCCAGTTGAGAAGTGCAGGGAGAACAAAGTAGTTCTGTAGTTGGATCATTTCGTATACTGCAGCCACAAATGTGTAAAACATAGATAGTGTAAACCGCATCAAAACTGTCTTCCCTGTTTAACTGGTCCAATAAAATCAGAGAAACCTCATGTCTTCCCTTAAGCCTTTTATACTCATAGCAACTGTTTGTGTCCGTTGATCAACAATGTTAAATAATTTAATCCTTTAGATTGACTGTATCTCTTCGAGTGACAGCAGCTCAAACTTGTGCCTTGTCTCGACCACCCATATGGTGATTGAAGGTGTGACCTCAATGAGCGACAGCATGTGAGCTTTTCGATAACCTCAGAGCAGGCATATACTCTTTTATCCGCGTCTTTCGTCAGTTCCGACAATCCACTTTTCACCACACGTCTGCAGGCTAACTGCTACGTCCAATGATCTGTTGGCACAACTAAGTGTGGCGATTCTATGTAGGCAGCAAATGCAGTGCTCTGGTGCGAGCTAACGTTATTATTTGCGCAAAAGTAAAAAAAGACTTTCACGGCCACATTTGTTTCAAGCTTTTATGAATCATCAGTATCAGATACTTCAGTACAGAACAGTATGTTTAAAACCATTTTTATTGGTTCTTTTGTACCGTTTAACTTTTGCTTGCGCTCCTTGAATGGGTCGGAGTAACCGTTTTCTCAAAGTTTTTAGCAACCTAACTGGAGCTTGCCAACCGGCATATCGCTGTACAGATTTTTCCGGCCCTGCAGTACAAATTACCGATCAGGGTTTTTACGCGGAATTCCGCACCGATACCGCTTTACCGCTCGCGGCTAGGCACTGTTATGGCCAAGAAGCCTGTCTACACGCGATTGGCCAAATGACGGGTCGCTTACCTGTCCACCATCAAGGCAAGCTGTGATTGGTCGAAAGTTTGGACCCATCAGCCAACTGCGACCCTGCATCCTCCGAAGACCGATTGTTAGTGCTGTATCAAGAAACTGTCCGTCCACCATCAAGGCAAGCTCTGATTGGTCGAAAGTTTGGACCCATCAGCCAACTGCGACCCTGCATCCTCCGAAGACCGATTGTTAGTGCTGTATCAAGAAAATGGCGCCGCATACACCTTACATATGACGCGCTGTATGTGTTTTTGACCTGGTGTTGTGCGTTACTATACGTTGTACACCGTCGGTGGTCGTTTTGACGGGAACGTTGGCTTGCGAAGTTCAGACCGAGAACTAAGCTGAGAATATACCGTCAATACAGGGTCGCATTGCAAAGTGGGACGAAAGATCGTAAATTGAAGCTACTAATCCGCCCACGTAGGCTTTCGACTCACTAACCGAGCTATCCGAATTCCATGAAATTAAAATATCTAGCAACGGTAGTTAACCGTCCTGGTCATTGTCGGATGTGAAGTGAGTCAAACTATTGTTTTTCTCTGGAAAGCTGTAGAACATCGTCCGATACTCTCTGTTATAAGGGCGGTTTCCCAATTTAGGTCTTTGCTAACATTTAGATTTCGGCCGCAAAGGTTTCATAGATTGTTAGTCTGGGGGGCTTCTCTAGGCAATCCCATCGATTGTCTTGGTTACTCAACTTAATTTGATGATACAAAGGCTTGTTCATTTCCTAAGTATTAAGCCGACCAAATGGACTCCTGCGCATGTTCTGCCTGTTGTACCTTATAAATACGTTACTGTTCGCTGTAAGTTTAGTCCGTTTCGGTTAGGTTTTCAAGACACCGTGGTCTGCTCTTGCTGCTGTTTGCGTGTGCGGACAAACTTTAATTCAATTTGGGCAACTTCAGGCAAACTATTAGACAGTGGTGGTTGATTAACTGTTCTCGCAAACAGAACCACACAGTCACAACCTGAAACAGTTTAATCAGGCGGGCAAATGACAAATGCTTGTGCATCCAGCACTAAATTAGAATTAGGACGAAAGGTCCTGTGTTTGAACATTCTTTTTAGGATCTGATCACACCTATTTCTCAGACCCAAAGCTTACTGTTACGAAGTCTGTTTGTGGCTCACGTTGTATGAATGCGCGGTAAGCAGCCCTACTCAATATCATCTACCATTCGAATGTCATACTACCCAAGTACACAAAAGGCCAAACTGTTTCATCGCTTGTGTATCTCAAATGTTCGGCTGTACGCACGACAATTTCGGGCCATTATTTGGACGTTTTAGGATGGTACCCTCTCGTTAACTTTTTGGTCTCATTCCTCGGTGCACACCGCATGTGACACTGCTCGTTGTTCGCGGAGTCCATCAGCGTATCTTTGCATGATAAGCCATCCTGGCCTCGCTTCGTGGTGAGTTCGTAAATGAGCTGTGCACAGTGAAGTGATTGGTGTCTTGCGTGTTTTCCTAGGTTCTGACGGTTAATCGTGTCGATAA